TGTCTCTTTCCACAGGTCTTGATGGCCAAGGGCGGCAGCCCGCTGGCAAGTAACAGCGCCGCCAAGGCCTTCAAGGTGGCGTGGCGGTGTGCCAGTCAGGACGTGGACGTCCCCGATCTGACAGCCAGCGGCGTGTGCTACGGCGTCCTTGTGGGCACGGCGGCGGCGGAGCCGGAGGCGCAGGGGTAAGTGCTCACCCGCCAGCCTCTTCGGTCTTCACGTTTCACTCGGTATCCGAGGTAGCCAACATCGCCAATGCCGGTGTGGTTGTGCAGCCGCGGTGTGTCAATGTCCTGTATTTAATCAGCCGTGTGTTCGCCGACGGTGGCAGCACGTCACCGCCATCACGGTCTCACGGCCGGCCGGCGGGGCGCCGCGCGTCGTAACGGATCAGGAGCGGCGACACCACCAGGCGTGATATCATGTCAGCAGCGGATCAGGAGGGGGTCACGGGCGGTCACAGAGGCCTAGTCGGTCCAGCGGTGTTACGTGTGGGAGGGTCTCCTGACGTGTCCCACACGGTGGCTCGCAGTTTGTCTCCCCGCTGAACAGTGGCGGTGGAAGCGCGTCAACAAGCGCTGCGGCGTGGCGGGGCGCCCCGAGGCACAGATCCGGTTATTGAGTGTCACGGCGAGCGATTCGCGGGTAGGCGGTACTTTCATGGCGGCAGACACAGGTTCTCGACGGGTTCCTTGTCCGTTGCTTTCATGACAGCAGACACAGGTTCTCGTCGAGTTCACTGCCCGTTACTTTCATAACAGCAGACAGGTTCTCGACGAGATCTGTCGTCACCCTGCCGCCGCAGCTGACTGACGTTCGTGTTTAGGCGGACGCCGGGCTTATGCTGGTCTTGTTGGCGTCTTGAGTGAGTGACTGCAGAGGAACACCAGGTCGCTTCGTTGTTCACCTGGAGCTCGCTGCTCTGCCGCATGACGTTGAACCGAGGCGCGCTTGGAAAGTCTCAGTGTCGCCTTCTCGTCAGCGCCGGTGCCCCTTACTGAAACTGGCTGTTCACCGACCACGAGTAATGACTGAGGGCTCCCCGGCCTAGAGAACTGGCCCCCGGCCACTTCTCGCTCTAGGACTTCTCGCTCTTGCTCCTATCGGCGTGCTATTCGATATCACTCATCTTTGTCTCAACTTCGCTTCGTACGTTTTCATTAAAGGGACTGTTCGACGGCTGCGTGGGCTTCGAGCCGAGATGGCTATTTTTGGGTTAAGCTGCTGTGCGTAGGGCACTAGCACTTAAACTAGTATCTTTACAGCAGAGGTTAGTTCACGTGTTACTGGAGCAGCAAGTGACTTGACCGTCGTTTGCGGGCAGTTCGGCGTGAGCGAAAACGGATGTAGGCAGAGCTTGCCTGTTGCCGTGGAGGAAAGGCATATAAGACATTTTGAAACCATTCGTCATAGGAGGTCTTTACAATGTGGAAGCATTTCTGTCGGCGTGAAGAACTAAATGACACGATGGGAAATGATTGTAGGTACAGCTGTGCATCTCGTATTTTGTGTATGCGATAGACTGCTAGCAAAGGTGTCACCAGTACGAAGCGTTCCATTCATTACACTGTGGTTGTCGTCTGCTCTGATCATTTGCCTGCAGTGTGACGCATTCTATGTCCACAATGTTTATTTTCCGTTTTTGTATGTGACTACTCAGCCCTTAATTCTGCCAACAGACGGAGCTCTGGCCGACAGCCAGGCGCCACCGGCGGCGGACGCCGACCCCGACTGGTCGCCGTCCTCGTCCCCCTCGTCGGCATCGACATAACCGGCGCCAGCGGAGAAGGAGGCCTCGGAAGAGTGCGTCCGGCCCGGTCCGTCACCAGTTGTCCTCTATGTGTGTGGCGGCAGACTGGACGTAAATGTTCTTCTCCCGCAGCTGGCATATCCGTGTGCTTACCCGGGCCGTAGCAAACTGATCATTCTGTGTTGCAGCGTGCAAGCCGCGGCAGGGCCGGCTTGCACGCAGCGGCGCTGGAAAGCGCCACAGGCACCCTTGCCGCCTACCGCCGTGCCGCGGCACCACGTAAGCCATCCTGAAACGGCACATCAGGATGGTGCACCCGCGGGTAGGCGACGCATTGCATGCTGTGTGCGGTTCTTGCTTGCCTTCACTCGCTTGTGCGTGTTTCTGCCGTCGATGCGTCACGCATGTCCACAGCTGTGCTGTCGGCCTTATCTTTTGAGCTGTCGACATGTGTTTCAGCTTGCCGCACGCGCGCCGGAGGAGGCAAAGCGTCTCCGAGCCGCCGAGGCCGACTGCCCTCCAGCAGCGGCCAAGCGCACCCGGCCACGCTGGCGCTGCCCGTTCGGCGCCAGTGGCGGGCAGCACCAGCGCCCGGCGGTGGTCATCAACCTAACACGACACCTGCGGGTGCAGTTCCCGGCAGGCAGCCAGGAGGTGCGTACCATCGCCATTGTTTCTGTCATCGTTTGGACGTTGGGCTGTCGCCTTTTCGACGTGTTCGGCGTGGCATCGTGAACCGTCTGTCCACATTTCCATCAAGCATGCAGTAATGTGGAACGAATCGACCCCATGGTATCGGCGAAGGCGGGTGGGACTGGAGGCCATCTCGGACCGCTTCACGATGTTCTTGCGTGGCGTCCGGGGTGGCTTCTGCAACGCAACAAAAGTGCAGCGCCACATGCGGGCGGTAAGTGCCACCGATGCCGGTCTGCTTCCCATTTACTTGCCGCCATCTGCTGTGGCTCGTGTTTTGCGTGTCATCTTGCATTAGCTTCGTCCGCCTGATCCGCCCCATGCAGCGGGGCTCAGAGTTGTGCTGGCGGCCAGCTGTCGTGTCACGGCGGTGCGTAATGCAGCCTCGTTTGCAGCTCCACCTCCTGCTGCCAGAGCTGCTCCCAGGCCGCCGTGCGGACCAAATGGTGATGCCGAACATCATGGCGGCCCTCTCCGGCCCCCAGCTGGCCATGGAGGGGCCCGACGGCTGGCTGCAAGCACAACAGCGAGCCCGCAAGATGACAGACGGCACGCTAAAATCTTCGATTCGCTGCTTGTCCCAGCTTATCACCTACAGCGCAATAGACAGCGAAAATCTTGGTCTGCAGGCGTGGCTGCCGCGCATGCCGGTAAGTGCCATCAACAGGTGATGTGTCGATTGTGCAGTCTGTCACGTCATCGTCACCGTTCGCTAATGACGCGGTATTCACAGGCCATGCAGGAGCGGCTGACGGCATGGCAGCGCTCGATGAAACGTCACGATTGGGAGCAGCGCCGGCACCACGAAGCCCAGGCGGCACGCTTCGTCGACGTGCAAGTCCAGCAGCGCTTCCTGAGCGTAAGAGATTGTCTGCCGCTATGCGGTTGGGAGTAATGTTCATGTATGGCGCTTGTCTCGTGATATATGTGTCAGTACCGTCCGTATCCCGTCTTAGCCCAGCTGCTGTCATTGTTCGGTGCGCATTGTGCTGGCGTGGTCGTGGCTGGATGACATCGTGTCAGTCTTGCATTTCATCAGCCGTCTTTTGACTGACAGTCCGAGTACGTCACCGCTCTGGCGGAGTGCCCGCCGGTCGGCGAGTTCCCGCCACTGCCGGCCGAGGCCCGCCAAGTGCGTGACAATCTGATGACAGTGCTCATGGTCCTCTGCGCCGGCCGGCCCAGCGACGTCACTGGCATCGCCGCCTCTTCGGTGCCCGAGGCCAGGGTGAGCAGGCTGGCTGACTGACTTGACTAACTCAGCCTGATTGAAGGGTGACGTTCAGAGGTGAGGACTTGTTGACGGACGCTAGCTCTTTTTGTGTTGAATGTTTTGATTATTGTAAGTTAAAAATCGGCTGTTAATTTTTTGGGTAATGTGGTCTTCCCTGTCGTTTGGCCCCGCGCTTGACCTTGAAGGATGACCTTGAGAGGTAGGAATTTTGACTGACGCTAGCTCTTTTTGTGGTGAAGATTCTGAAGTTTGTAAGCTAAAAAACGTCTGGTAATTTTTGGGTGACACAGAATTCCCTGTCCTTTGAACCTGCGTTTGACTTTGAAAGGTGACCTCCAGACATCAGAATCTTTTGATGGACGCTAGCTCTTTCTGTGGTGTTAAATTTTGACGTTTTTAAGTTTAAAATCAGCCGGTAATTTTTGGGTGATATGAAGTAGTTACCTGTGCTTTGAGGCCACGTCAGACCTTTAAGGGTGACCTTGAGACGCCATGACTTTGTGACGGACGCTAGCTCTTTCTATGATGAATGTTTTGATCTTGGTAAGCTAAAAATCGGCCAGTAAATGTTGGGTGATATGGAGTTCCCGTCCTTTGAGCCTGCGCTTGACCTTGAAGGGTGACTTTTAGAGATCAGGACTTTATGACGGCGGCTGGCTCTTTCTGTGCTGAATGTTCTGATGTCCGTAAGTTAGAAATCGGCAGGTAATTTTTGGGCGATACGGAGCTCCCAGTTCTTTGATTTCGTTTTTTTCCTTGAAGGGTGACCTTGAGAGATCAAGACTTGGACGGACGCTACCTTGTTCTGTGTTGAATATTGTGACATTTGCAAGTTGAAAATCGGCCGGTAATTTTTGGGTGATTTCGAGTTCTCGGTCCTTTGACCCAACTTTTGACATTGAAGGTCGCATGATATTGCAAAATAAGGGTCATTTTTGGTGTTGTCATGCCACAATTGACCTTGAAGCCAGTGGCCAGGGAAAGCCAGTCGGTGTCCCGTCACTTTTGTCGGCTCTGGACATACTCTCCATGTATTTAGACAGGGCCGCAGCCCAGCCGGTACCTACGAGTTGTCCGGTTGTGACGTGAACCACATCGCCTGGGAGAGCCTCCCTCGAAACAAAAATAATCAGATTGCAGCCACTTTGTTTCGGGTGACCCGGTGTTCTTCGTTTTAATGGTAAATGTCGCAATGTGTAACTGAAACAAAAAACAATTCTACCGGTATTTTGGTTCTCCCGGTAATGAGTCAGGGGTGGATCCAGAGAGGGTGGTCACTGGGCCGTGGCCTCCTCGGGCCCCGAAAGGGCCCCACAGCTAGCCGAACAGATGCAGTTTCTTCAAACACAAAACAACAAAATTTCTCTGAACTCCCAGGCCACCAAGGACATTTGCAAGCGAAAGCGATTGGCCTAAGAGAACAGAGAAAAATTATTCAATTTGAAAAACGTTAATGGAAAATTATAAGCCCTATTACATTGCCCAGGGTCCTATGCTGTTTCAGGGGACCTATATGCCCACTTGCAGAGTCGTTTCGATCGTTAAGGAGCTTTCCACGTTAGCCTTGACTGCTTTGTGTTTGCTCGGAGGGCCCTGCACTGTTGCTGTGCTGTTCCTGCTGGCGTGCCGGGGCGTTCTTGTCAATCAGAGGCCTTCTATGGATTTGTTTTCAGTCTCCAGAAACGCATTGTGGCTATAGACGGGGAGCCATATGTTTAGCTACCCGGGTATTCTCGGTTGCTCGGGGGCCTTTACGTTGGTTTCGGTTCACCTACCGACATACTCGCGATATGCTCATGGCCCTCCACGTTGGTCTAGGGCGTTACTAATTCTGTGACTTGCCTATGGCCCTACGTTCTTGTGGGGCCCATCTGTTAACCTACTTACCAAATGTATTCCTACGTGCTCTGAATGTTTTGACCTCTTCTAGCACTTAGCCTTATGGTCGTGGAAAATATCCATTGTGCAACATTAAAATCTATGTTTTGCTCATGTTCCTTCTGTCTTTTTACTGCTTGATAGTTGTTAGAGCCCTGTGAAGCATGTTCGAATTATATTGTGCTAAGTAGAGGTGTATGGCGCGATTCGCTGTATAGGAATTATTCCAGAATTGGTGGGTTGATCACAGGTCCGTTTCTAACGTTGGCGATTGTTCCTCTGTTCTACCGTCACTGGCCGTCTTCAAATTGTGGGACCCCTTTCTGTTATGCTCCACTGTCAAGGCCTCGACCTGGGTAACTGTAATGATTGGCTTTAACACTACCGTGACATCGGTGCTTGAACACTTGCTTTGATAAAATCCAACATATCTTAGAAAAGTCGAAACTGCGCTGTACGCATCAGCTCTTTTAGAAACGACAGCGCTACACTAACTCTCTAGTTTAATATCTTCATCTCGAAGCCTAGGTGCCCGGGGTTGTAGATATGTGCATATATGCATTGACCTGCGGTTTTAGGTGGTTGCAACCGCTGAAGAAAATGTGGTTATGAACCCAAGTGTAAACTGTGCGAAACTGCTGTAAACATGG